CACACACACACACACACACACACACACACACACACACACACACACACACACACAGCTGTCTTTTCACATCCGTTTCCTCCATTGTGCTGCTCAGTGCTGCCCGGGATGCGCTAGCTACAGCAGAAAATTCTCCTCTCTCAAACACCTGCAGATCAAGCAACAGATGCACAGAGTGTTTCATAAATCAAGATGTCTCCATGTCTGTGGGCTGAGTCCTGGGAAAATGACTAGCCCCTTTGACTCTGCAGTAACTCGCACACGCTCAGTGGCACACAGCAGCAGTATAGTGGAGGAAACTGAGATTGGGGAAAGACAACAGGATAGAATGGCTTCAGGGCCCATCTCAAGCTGGGCTCTCACGACACCCTTTGAAATGAAACCCAAAGTAGAAGATTCTTCTCACCATAGTTCAAAAAAGATGAGAGGTTAAATGTACTCTCACTTGCATGGCATTGTCTATTAAAGTCACCCAGGCCTTAGAAGGGGAAATCTTATTCTCCTTTACACAGAACTATTGTACCAGTGTGTGTGTGATGACACATGGATTGTTATAGTAGCAGTTGTTTCTCTCATTTTCCATTTTAGTTAATTCACACACTTCTCAAAAACATAAGATCACATGAACGATGAGTCATACCATTGCTGCATAAACATGTGCCAACACCCAGAAGCTAGGATGTGAAATTATCTTTTGTTTTTGCAAGATTGGTCTGTTATTGTGCATATTAGACAGCTCAAACCTTGCTCTGGTAAGTAGCATACAACTTGAAATTAATAGCTGGTTGGTGACTTTAGCAGGCATGTCATTTGCAGTTAAACTCACTCATATAATACCGAAGATCAGAGTATTTGGAAAAAAAGATGAAGAGGGGATTGGAGCAGGATTTGGCATTGATATTGTGACATTCTTATTAGCAGGAGTGCAAGTACAATGGTACCTACCAGTACGCATTACCGGCAAGAGATTTTTAGTGGGTACAGGGTACTGGAAAGACTCGGGGCTAGTCCCCCCCATCCTCTGTAGTGGGGGTAGGACTGCAATCTGCTCCTTAAAGGAGCAGAATGCTGCTAGGGAGGGCATTCATTCTTTAAATGGTTTTAACAGCACAATACATATGCTAACAAACTTAAACAAAGGCTTTGTTTAAGTTTGTTAGCATATGTATTGTGCTGTTATGTTGGTCAGGAGTCCTCAAGAGGGAAGAGGTGGGGGGGTGGAAGGTGTTTAAACCATGTTTTTTATTCTGTTTCTCCCCATTGGTCTGAATTATCCATGACATCCATACTGCATCACATCAAGTCCAAATCATTAGAGGAATGCCTCTGCTTGCACTGACCAGAGGATGTTTGGATTCTGATGTCAGCCCTGTTCTGCAGCCTTACAAGAATCAGGTATTGTCCTCAGTGTACACAGAATTCTTCTTTGCACCCAACCTAGTCTAACATGCATTTTTGTTAACTGGAGCAGCAAAACAAAGAAAACAAGTGCCTCATTTTCCATCTTTGTGGGTGAGAGAACTATAAGTGAAGATTATAATGCCAGACACTGATGGCCTTAAACCAGCTGCCTCAGGAATCTGCCAAGAACTTTGCTGAAAATATGTTCCTCATCTTAGCAGCGGAACTAAGACTTATCACACATCTGCCCACCTTTATTCAAATGAAGCTCCTTCTAATATGACAGCTCAGGCATTGTCAGTTTCATCCAGAACAATTTACAAACTTGGAACCTAATCCTGTAAACCCTTAATCATTTGATCAATCCCATTGAAGACAATGGGACTATTTGCATGACTATGGACCACTTTTGTGGACTGGTAAGAGTTTCAGGAGTCTCTTCCTATAAAGGAAGTTGAATCCCCCATTGAAATGCAATGTTTGGGTACAATACCATAAAGCAGTTTAGGATACAGTTCTACTTAAAATTTGTCTTTTAATAATTCATACATATGCTGAAATGGCTCCTCACCCATCTCCCATATTCCATATAAACAGACTGAATACTACATATGTGGGGGGAAAGTGAGAAGTTAAGCATGTTGATATTTGTATATACAAAGGGGGGTGTCGGAGGGGACAGGGAGAGCGTGGGGACCCTGGGCTGAGGGCGGGGTGGGGAGGAGTCACATGGAGTGTCACATGGGGAGGTCACGTGCTCCCCCCCTTGTGTCCCTCCCATGAGTGCAATACCGGCAAGAAATGATTTCTACTTGCACCACTGCTTATTAGATCCCCCACAATGTCTGCATCCTCCCCAACAGTAAATGCTTTCATCATTTCCACCAGTGCAACATGAACCTTACCAGATAGCAGAGAAAAAACCCATCTCCGAGACCACTACTAGGCTACAAACTCTTCCATAATTTTCTGTAAGGCTTCAGCTGTTTCCAGATAGCCAAACTTGGTACACACGGTGCTCTTTATTAACCCTTTCAAGAGGTATATTTTATAGAGAGAAAAGCTATATTGGGCAATTTTAGTCATTGTTCAAAGGCAGCCTGGCTTCAAACCCTTTTAATGGGAATAGTCTTTGTCACCCACTCCTCCAACTGGCTCACTAAAATGTTTAGAATTCTAATACAATTCCAAAATAGGTTTTATGTGTAGCATTGTAGGATGACTTTGTTGGTACTTGGCTACTAGCAGCTATTCTACATCTAAAAGAGAAAACTCCATTTTGAAATCTGGTATCTCATATCCCTGCAGGACTAGACACAGGAGTTTTATAGCCCTGGGAAGGGGCAATCCCACATTCCCAACTGGACGTGGAAATCATTTCTAGTCCTTGAAACATCTGACATTGGAATTTGCAGTAACATTTTGAGATACAGCAATGGTCATTTTTAGAAGTTTCTATAGTTCCTTATGAGCCCAGTGCAGTTGGACTTTTGGTAATTAAAAACCACATTCACAGATTCTATTTCAGTCCATTGAATACTGTCCATTATAAAACATGCAGCTAGATGCTGATCTTATTTACCCTGACATAAATGTAGACTAGCTTAGTTGAAATTACTAGAGTTATTCTGGATTCATACAACAAAACAGAGATCAGAATCTGGTTTATGCGGTGAAATGATATAGTAGTACAGATCTTTATTTTAGTAAAGTGTGTCTTTCGTAATTACCCATAATTAGTTATTCTTCTGAACAGATTTGTATCTTTGATTTTAAATCAATAAAGACATTTGTTAAAAAAATATCGTCCAATGGTCTCTACGCATGCTCTACAGTTTATACATGTATAAAAGGTCTTGTTAAGCCTAGTGGCAAAGAAGCCAGTAGAATACTGAGGTCTAATTTTGGGTGGGCCACTGTATGATCTTTATCAAGTCACTTAATCTTGTACCTCTTAACCACTTAACCTTATGTTCTTATACCTCAATCAGCCTTACTGACAAATTAGATTTTTAAAACAACAACACTTAATTGACAAAAAATGCTACCTGGGACCTCCACATATGACTGCACCTGAAGAGTTTGAGGCCTATTTTCTTTACACCATCTATAAAATATTTATGGGGAAGAAGCATTTAAAAAAGAGAACTCTATGGTGGTATTAATATTTTTCTTCAGGAAAAATAAAGATGCTGATTGAATATGAATTGTTTACTTGCTCAGCTAACCATAAAAAGAGAAGGTGGCCTACTGTAATTTATGATTCCACCAATATGCATTTTATTGGCTATGAGTGTATCTTTGTTAGAATTCCAAGCTGATGAAAGCCTCATTAATGTCAACATTCTTTTAAGCAAGACTGGACAAAGCAGTAGCAAGAATACTCCAGGACACTATCCTGTATTGGCATGGATGGGCTTAAATGACATCATTGCCTGACTCCTGCCATAACAATATAATAGGTCCCTTGTACCTCCACAGTCTATTACTCTATTTCTTGGCTAAGGTGCTGCCTCTGCTTACCGCTGTACAGAAGATGCAGCTGCATTCTTGAAGAGCAGTCATCTTATCAAGAGAATGTTCACAGAGACATAGCTTGCAAGTGACTAGAGGTTCCAGAGACAATCCCCCAGCTTCTGACATGTCAGCTGTCATGGTATGATGGCTGATCTTACCAGCAGAGTCCATCCGTTCATTAATATCTTACTCTGGTCCAGTCAACCTGCAGAAAGAAAACAGCTGAAACTCCCCAAAAGCAATGCCAGTAGCAAAAAAGTTTACATAATAATCCAATGTAAAGCTATCTAAGAGGTTTGGTTAAGTGAGCTTCCTCTAACCTACCTGTAGTTCCTAATTCATTTTAGAGTTGTGTATTGTATATCTGGATGAAAACCCTTGTCGGCTGAACTGCTAGATGTTGATCAAAAACCTTCTTCTGTGCTTGTTTTCTGACTGGGGCATTTAAAAAATACTGCACAATACTGGGGCTAATTTCATTTGACTATTCTGTTTCATGATCCTCACGTTAACTTAAATGGAGCATTTCAAATTCTGAAATGTGAAATGGTGGAAAGTAAATATACCGATTTTATTCAGAGCTTCTTACCATTTCCTAAACAGAAAAAATGGGGTGCAGCGATGAAAGCGCACGACAGAGAGTCAGACGGTCTGGAATCTATTCAGAGTTCTGAACAGATTTGTTATACAACCCTGGGTGCAGGACTATCCACAGTACACATTAGAGAGTGTTCCCAGCACTAGATGCCTGATTCTCTGTTGGCCTGCAATGTGTGTAGTCATCTTCACCAGAGAAAAGCAGTGGTAAAACTTTGGCAAATCAGAATGACAGCATTATGCACTCACTTTACACAGGTGTAAATCACTATGATAATGGAGAATCAGGTCCAGTATTCATGTGTGCATGTGTGAATGAGAAAAAAAAATATTTTTCTCCAGAAAAATGGAACTGAGCCCATTCAAAACCTTTTTGGAGATATAAAAAGTCTAGGTTATTTTATAAATTCTTTTTAATTTCTAGACTCCTCTATACTTCCTGGTTGTGTCTGACAGTGACGTCCTGAAATACCATAAGAAGAGCCTTTCTTGTTAGATTTGGAGCCCAATTTTGCAGACCCAAGCAATGGGCTAAGGTTCATGCATCCAGACTTCTGGGTGCTTATCCAAAGCAAAGCTCTCCTTTAAAGGTTCACTAAGTCCAATCCTCATTCCATTATCCTTAGCTCAGTCTCTTTATGCTACCATGCCATCCATAACAATATAGCTCAGTGGTTTGAGCATTAGCCTGCCAGGGCCGGCTCTGGCTTTTTGGCCGCCCCAAGCAAAAAAAAAAAAAAAGAAAAACCCAGGGCGGTCAGAACGGCAAAGCAAAAAAAAAAACTGCGGCGCGGCCGGAGCCAGGGTGCAGGGGTACTCCCTGCGCTGCGGATGTGCCCCGGCTAGCGGGGGGGGAGGGGGAGAAAACGGGGGGGAGAGATAGAGAAGGGGGGCAGCCAGGGCTTCAGTGGGGCGCTACCACGTGGACCCGACCGGTGCACCGCCTGCTGGGAGGCTCCGCGCCGCTCCGGTTGTCTAGGAGGGAAGGACGCGGACTGCCCTGCCAGGCTTGCTGCAGGGCGCTCCCGTCCTCCGTGCTGCCGCCCCCTACAGGGCTGCCGGAGCGGCACAACAAACAAACAAAACAAAACAAAAACAAAAACAGCGGCCGTGCCGCCCTAGGATTGGGCAGAATGCCGCCTTGAACAATCTGCCGCCCCAAGCACCAGCTTGCTCGGCTGGTGCCTGGAGCCGGCCCTGTAGCCTGCTAAACCCAGGGTTGCAAGATCAGTCCTTGAGGGGGCCATTTAGGGATCTGGGACACAAAAAACAAACAAAAAAAACCTGTCAAGGACAGTACTTGGTCCTGCTAGTAAAGGCAGGGGACTGGACTTGATGACCTTTCAAGGTCCCTTCCAGTTCTATGAGATAGAAGTTTATATATCTCCATATATAAACAATGAGTTCCTCATAACGGTAGAGCTAGAACTATAGCCATTGCCGGAAGCCTTTGGAACAAAACACCTCTCTGAGTCAGAATCTATAATACACCGTTCTATAATTGCTGTGTCAGTGAGTCACTGGAACTGTGATAGTGGATCAAGAACTACCTACCTGTTACTTAGTTCTACATTTTAGATCTTAACCCAATATATAAAGAATTACACAGATACACAGACACTTCTACTGCAGCTGTACCTTCACAGTATTACACTCTTACCATACGCTATGAAGCACAATGTTATTCACTTCAGTACCATGCAGAATTTCCAATTTTTTTGGTACCTATAGTGAAATATGTGGCTGGAAATAGGAACTAGAAGGGGAAAAGAAGAGGGGGAATATTTTAGGTTTGGGATTGCAAGACAGAAATGGTTGTTCATCTTTTCCAGGGTCAGATTTCCAACTAGCTCTAAGGGGGCTGTGACGCTGGATTTGCACTGCGTATGAATGAAATAGAAAAGAGGTTAATGAGACTCAATGTGGGTCATGGAGTTAACAGATTATTTATTAATTTTAAAGATGGTCAAAATTTGGCAAAGTGACAGACAAGTAGCACTAGCAACTGTAAAACACACCAGTCCTGATTCTCCTCTATGTCTGAGCTGGGCTCAGATGTAGTAGAGAATTGCAGCCACAGGGAGCTGGTTGTGGCTCCCTGGTTCCCAGCTGCCTCGCCCAGGTGGGCACTCAAGTAGAATGGGAGCTACTCTGCCATTTGCAGATAAGGCTTGGTAGACCTTGGCTCTACTACTGCCCCCTCCTACTCCACCCCAGGCCTCTCCCTACACCAGGGGTAGAGCAGCAGCTGATGCAGGAGGCAGCTCTAGCAGAGATTCCCAATACATGGGGGAATTCTCCTGTGAGGATTTCCGGCCAGTGATGCAAAGTGAACTTGGAGGTGGACTAGAGAATCTGGCTCATAATGAGGTCAAATCCAGTTTACCTTACCTAGCACATAGTCCCACTGCAGTGGGACTCTGCAAGTGAGTAAAGGAAGCAGGATTTCATCCAGTGTCCACACCCACACTGTGCAAGCTTTCCTCAGACAGCCCTGACCATACACTTCAATCCTGACCTACAACATTCCTGCTATGCAACATTTAGGCCTCCTCAGAGCAGTCAATCCATAAACAATCTTCTAATTGGCACAGAGGTAAACTAGAAACACTGAAAGTTTTGTAGGCTTATTTTATTATTTTAGTTAACAATAACAGAGGCCCATTAAAGTGCCTTTACAAAAGATTAAAATTCACATTATAATCAATAAGTAGACTGCCCCCAAGTCTACTAAGCACATGCCAAAAATTCAAATTCAACACAAATGAATTAACCAACAGCTACACATATCTGGAATGAAAAAAAGTCGATGGAAGAAAAAGAAGGTGCCCCATGTTTTGGTCAATAAAAATTTTAAATATAGCTCTCTGAAGAAATTCAGAAGACCTGCTGTCACCAATTCAATGTCATTTACCCAAACAATGTCTTTGAAAACTGATTTTACAAGACTTAACAAATCTGTAAGCACTGTGATCCATTCTATCTTCCCAACTTTTCCTTTCTTGCCTTTTTCTTACACAATGCTTTAACCCATTTAAAATAGGATACCCACGTCAATATGAAATGTATTGTTGCCCCTTTTTACTGGAGGCCTAGTCAAAGTTTGGGGACCTGTAGGTGGTGTTCCAGTTGGGAGTACAAATTGGTGGTAGTCAGGTAGTTCTTTGATGCAATTTTGTTTATTTACAAAGAATGTATTCACTGAACACAGAAGGAATAAAGTAGCAGGAAACAGTTTATTTTGCTCACAGCACCAAACACACTCTTTTCAGCTTGAACCCCTGACTCAAAAAAACCCTCTCCCCAGGTTTCTTCCAGAGTCAGCCACCTGCTTTTAGCTGTTCCTTCCGGCTGTCTCTCTCACTTCGTCTGTTCTTGTCTGACCTCAGTTTCTGTGAGATCTCTTCCCACACACATACACACCTACTGAAAACAATACTCATCCAAAAACTCCTGTGTGTGTTCACACACCCTTTTGTTTTAGGTGGGGCTTATACTTAGAGTTATGTTAATTGAAGAATATGTTCACACCTGCCAATCTTAAATCAACCCCATTACAAGGTTTCACCCAGCTCATAACAGTATCATTGAAAGCTGAGTGGACTAGAGTACGGGGCATAACTGTTCAATAAACTGCTTCACTGAACAATAAAGACTATCAGCTGTTTTCTGAACAGTTACAGTATTCCAGAGATGCTCTAACCCCAAGAGAGATTCTACATTAAATTCTTCCTTGATGTAAATCAGAGGCATTATGCCAGGGATGTATTTGAGCTGCTATATGCAATGGCTGCCTCACAAGTGCAAAAGCCAAGAGATCTAGACTACTTTTTTAAAGTCATTGTCTATTCTCTTTACACTGTATGTACTTGTTTACTTAAATTGTACTAGCTTTGTCAGATGTGCTCACATTTCCATAACCATATGTCTAAGAGTAACAGCTTTGGTGCCACATGACCAGGTATGCCAGCAATGCCGCTCTGCCATGAACATTGGCCAAACCGGACAGTCTCTATGCAAAAGAATAAATGGACACAAATCTGACATCAGGAATCATATTCAAAAGCCAGTAGAAGAACCCTTCAACCTCTCTGGTCACTCAGGCCTGGTCTACATTATGAGTTTAGGTCAAATTTAGCAGCGTTAAATCGAATTAAGCCTGGACACGTCCACATGACAAAACCCTTTTTTTCGACTTAAAGGGCCCTTTAAACCGGTTTCTTTACTCCACCTCCGACGAGGGGATTAGCGCTGAAATCAGCCTTTCCGGGTCGGATTTGGGGTAGTGTGGACGGAATTCGACGTTATTGGCCTCCGGGAACTATCCCACAATGCTTCATTGTGACCGCTCTGGACAGCACTCTCAACTCAGATGCACTGACCAGGTAGACAGGAATAGCCCCGCGAACTTTTGAATTTCATTTCCTGTTTGCCCAGCGTGGAAAGCACAGGTGACCACGCAGAGCTCATCAGCACAGGTAACCATGATGGAGTCCCAGGATCGCAAAAGAGCTCCAGCATGGACCGAACGGAAGGTACGGGATCTGCTCGCCATATGGGGAGACGAATCAGTGCTAGCTGAACTCCATAGCAGTAAACGAAATGGCA